GTTAAGCATGTGGCTGGTTAAGCTTCAGGCTTTCCAGCAGCAGTTCAGCTGAGAGCCATTGGGCTGAGGACACAGAAGCTTCCATTCTGAGGAAACAAGACCAGCTGAGAAGTTGACCAGGTGAGGTTAGCTGTGGCTTGTTCTGTCTCTCTGACCTTCCAGTATTCACCCCAATAACTGGCCTCAGGTTTGATTAATCAATAAGTACTTTTAAGATTCCTGCTACACAAAGATGCTGAAGGCATCTGATTGGCAGCCTTAATTCCTTCTTCACTGTGTAACATATTGACAGGAACCCATCCCCATCATCCCCCTGCATCATTGCTCTGGTGCTTTTTCCACTCCCGTCTCTGAGAACCTGTTGTACACAGACAGTTGCCTTGTTCATTCTAAGGGCTGCAGAATGGTCCATATTTAGTGTTGACAGACATTTGAAGTCTCGCTCCTTTGTTATTACAACCAGTTCATTACGTTTCTTCAGTGGGATGTGTTCTCCCAAATGAGCTGTCTGTGGAATAAAGCCAAAGAAGTAGAATTTCTCAAAGGACAGACAGAAGAATGGCTCCCACGGGCTCCTGTGTCCCCGTGCTTGTCCCTAGTTGGTGGAACTGGGGACTGTTTGGGGAAGGATTAGGAGGCGTGGCCGTATTGGTGGAGGTGTGTCACTAGGCATGGGCTTTGAAGCTTCAAAAACCCCATGACAGGCCCAACCCGCACCGGTGCCTTCAACTTTCAAACAGGATGTGAGCTCTCAGCCACTGCTCCAGCGCCAGGCCTGCCAGCCTGCCGCCATGCTCCCTGCTGTGAGGGTCAGGGACTCGCCCTCTGGAACTGTCAGCCAGCCCCCAGTTAAGTGCTTTCTTTTGTAAGTTGCCTTGGTCACTTCAAAGAGACATAAATAACCACAGTTACATGCTCCAAACATTTCATAATAGACCGGGCTGAGCTATGATTTTCAGTAGGTGTGTTGAATGTACTTTGAGTTAGGATAGTTTAACTCAACAATTAGTTTATCTGGATATAACCCCATTGTAAGTCACTAAGTACAGGGCCGCAATCTGCCCAAAGAAACTGCATTCGGCCTAAAACTCCCGCATCATTGTGTCTGGTTACTAATTTGTAAGGTGCCTTTATAAAAACTCCAAATGCAGTATAAACACAACCAAAAGGCACCATGGAAAAACCTAATGCCTAGGTTTGTCCTGGCAACCTATACGCCAGGAAAGAGTGACCAATTTTCTAAGTCATTTGGTCTCTGTCTATCTGTCCTTCCTCACCTCATTGTAGGTGGAGTCCTGCTGTGTAGTCTAGGCTGGCTTTGAACTCGTAATCTTCCTGTCCTGGCCTTCTGAGCTGTGCGGTTCAAGTGTCCAAAGCCATACCCGTTATGTTTTCTGTCATGAATGTATACTGTGATTTAATTGTTTTCTTCTTATTTGGTATTTGTAAATGACTAACTTGAATATTTAAAAAAATGATGGTCATGCATACTCTTGCATTTGTGAACAGGGCCCTGTGTTTGAGGGGGCTGCTGGGGTAGTGGGGGGCCACTGGGGGCAGTGGGGTGACCCTGGGGGTAGTGGGGTGACCCTGGGGGCAGTG